TTTTATGCAATCTCTCCCTCTAAAATCACTTTCGTTTTCTTAACTTCAAATTGTAACCTCTGCATTGATGTCCTTGCAATCTGTCTCTAAAATGTGCTTCATCAGGAACGTGCAACACTTAGAAACTCTCACTAAAACATCAGTTTCAACATATCCAAAACTAAACATAAACTTCTCCCAGCCCCAGCCTCCTTCCCAGTTTCCCTACTATTCTCGGTGAGACCATCTTTACCTCTGTTACGGAGCTTGCAAAGTACTGGAGTCAACTTGGAGACCTGCAAATGGAATGAGCCACTAAGGCCTAAAGTCCTCCCTTTAAAATGGTTTTTCTGTGGATCTAGCCCTGTGATCCCTTCCCCCCAACCAGGGTGATTTTTAGACTTTAGTCCTATTTATTCTAATTTTGCATTTCATATCAGTTTTAATGACTCCAAAGTACAAATGCAAATCAACTCATATGAACAATCACAAAGGGAGTAACCTATTCTGAAATGCTACCTATATACCATCTTTCCTTTCTTGGTGAAATTTCAATCTTGCAGCAATATCATCAAATAGATCCAAGTTGTCTGTCTTAAACTGATCAACAGCTCCCTCCTAACAGCACAGATTTGTTTGGAGCAATATATGTCTAATAAATCAATGCTGGATTCAAATCATACTACAAATGCATCAGGAATGCGATTTAGACACCTGCCAAATCAATGGTCCACATGTGAGGTTCTAAAAAGAAAAACTGATGCAAATAAGATCAATTCTCCCATTCAAATAACTAATAATGTGGTAAGAACAGTTAATGCACTAAAGTTTTAGATGGAGCAAAGGGGGAAGCATGTTCTATACAGGGGGATACGTATAAAATAAATGAAGCCGGAACAAGGCAGCATATGAAAAGAAGTCTGGCCTGACCAGAACAGAGGGAGAATGGGCCATGTTCATAAGCTGTAGTCATTTACAAATAACAAATGATATAGTTTATATTTGAGCAAATGAACAGAGACCCTGTGAGTTTATGAGTAGAGGATTCTGTGTTGGATTAATATAGATTTTAATAGGTAAATTCAGAGGATGAGAACATGGGTGTGCTTCATGGTATTATTTCTTTCTTTCCTTCCTTCCTTATTGTATGGAGGATTGCTCCCAAGGGCACTTTACCACTGAACTACATCCTCAATTTTTTCTTTCTTTCTTTCTTTGAGACAGACCCTCACTAAGTGTGGAGGCTGGCCTCAAACTTGCAATCCTCCTATCTCAGCTTCCCAAGTAGCTGGGATTACAGGGATTATATTATACTGCACCAGGCTCTTCATGGTTCTTTCAACACTCTTAACTAAAATTTTTCATAATAAAAATATTATATATGCCATTAGACATAATATTACTTTACCAGTAGAATACAGTCTTAACTTCATCACCTTCAAAATGGAAATAACAATCACAATAAATATTTATGTACCAAGTCATAAGAGAGTCTAAAGACAAAACAAGTCTAATATCTTCCTTTTGAGGCGGCCTCTGTCCAGTAGCAGAAGCAAGTGTGCATAAAATAATTTTAATACACTGAGTACATGCACTAGCAAGAACCCAAAGAGAGCTAAGGATGTAGCTCAGTGGTAGAACTCTTGCCTAGCATGCACAAGACCTATAGGGTTCAATTCTCAGCACCCCTCCCACCTGACCCCATCCTGGCCACCCCAACCCCCACCAAAAAAAAGAATACAAGGAGTAGGCATAAAAGGGGGCATTAACTATCTGAGGAGGACATCTGAGAACCAGAAATGTCTTCATTTATTACGGATAAGTCCAAGGCTTCCAACCTAGAAATAACTGTTATGGTTTAACTCTGAGATATCACCCCAAAGGTTATGTTTGAGACAATGCAAGAAAGTTTAGAGATGAAATGATTGTGTTACAAGAGGCTTAACCAAATAAGTGAATTAATCCCCAATAGGAATTAACTGAAGGTAAGTAGGGTGTGGCCAGAGGAGGTAGATCCCTGGGAATGTGCCTCAGGGTATATATTCTGTCTCTGGAGAGTACAGTCACACTCACTCTCTCTGCTTCTTGGTGGCCATGTTCCAAGCTCCTTTCCTCTGCCACATTCTTCCTCCATGATATTCTGCCTTACCTCAAGTCCTAAGAAATGGAGCCTACCTTCTATGGACTGAGACCTCTGAAACCATAAGCCCCAAAATAAACTTTTCCTCCTAAAATTGTTCTTGTCAGGTCTTTTGATCACAGCAAGGAAAAAGCTGACTAAAACATTAACTCTGAGTGAAGAAAGAGAAAAGCCGGAAATAATGCTTAGTTTAAGGAGACAATGAAGTGTTCAGTAGAGTATATAATAGGCATACACTGAAGTTCAGGAATATCAAAAAGTCCACCTTATTCATAATTACCAGGTCATAAATAATTTTTCTGAGATACTAATGCAGGTTTCCATTTAAAACAGGTATATGAGGACTACCTAGAAACTCATAATAAACATTTCTCACTTTTTAAATTCTCATTTAAGATACTCTATGCCATTCATTGTGCAGATAAGCTTAGCAATATTTGCAATGTTGGGATAAAGAAAGAGAGATCCCAATTTTTCTCTGCGATTGTGACATCCATTGAGCCACAATGGATGTGCAGACCCGATTACCTAAAAGCAGATTCCCCTCTCCCACCACCTATACTCTCTTCTTCCTATCTCTATGACCCAACCAGCAGTGCCAACTGCTTAGGAAACTTTTACCCCCACATAGTAATCCCTCCTGAATATGTCCTCTCTTGAGGGGATTCCTGCTATTGTACACTAAAACCTCTGGGGATACCCTCTCTCAGGGGACTGCTGCCCCTGGATGTTCTACTACGAGATTTTCATCTTGCAGTTCACCGGCCTATGGAGTCCTACTTCAGTCTCATTTCTTCTCTTAGCCCAAAAGGACTAAGTAACAAGTAGAAGGTATAAAGCCATGGAAATAAGAAACTTGGTGGAAGTTCCAGTCTAAATTAAGTTCTGCAGTCCACTTTTAATAGAGATTCTTAATGGGAGTTTGCTCTATCATTACCATGAATCCTAGACAAAAAAGAAGAACCAAAGTACCAAGTGAGGGGGCTAGGGAGGCTTTACGTGTTGCTAGAGGGGTTAATCTAAAAGCAAGCAATAACTCAACATATAGACTGGGCACTGGAGGGCAGAATGATTTCTGCTACCACTGCCAATTTTCCCCATTAGTCAGGATTGTCAGTCAGGATGGCAGCAGAGAATGACTATAGGACACAGAGCAGCCAAGTTCCTCATAGGCCCTGGGGCGTGAGACCAAGAGAGAGGTATCCCAAATTTTGTTCTTTATTGTGTGCTGAATTGCACACAGGGCCAAAGATAGACCTACAAAGGAACTGGATTCATGTGGCTTTCACATTAGCTACTGGATCACTGGCCCCAAGAGGGAAAAACCATGATAGTAACAGAAAGATACTGTGAGTTCAACCATGGAGGAGAAAAGGGAGGGAGATAGTGGGAGCTTACTTCATCAAGGATTTGGAAAAGAATAATGAATTCTTTATTCTGGAATATGTTCTTCTGAGTTGGGGTTTAAAAAAAATGTAAAAGGAATTATCACAAATTCAAAGGATAAGAAGGAACTGCACAAAGATGTCTTTTGAGCCTGTCATGCAGGAAAATACCTGCAATTCCAGGGAGTCAGGAGGCTAAAGCAGGAGAAATGCAAATTTGAGGCCAGAATAAAAAATAAAAAGGGCTAGGAATGTAGCTCTGTGATAAAGTGTTGGGACGAGGGGGGGAGTGGGATTACCTATTTCACACTCAAGGAGAAATAGAAACCAAAATGACAAAATGACTGTCTTGAAGCAGAACAGGAAATATTTTAGTAAGAGAAAATGAAGGGTTGCACTGATCAGGTTGAAAGTGAGAGGGATTTCCTTACAAGAAAGGTTGTAATTTTAATCAACGACTGAACTTAAAATTATTTAGCTTTAGGACAGAATGAGCCCTTGGAAAATATCTAGTTCTCTAGGTTAGTGTGACTTTAAATAGAAGTAGATATCTCATTGTAGATTTCATTTTTTAAAAAACTCCAGAGGATTTAAGGGAATATGATACAACTGTGTTTGGAGTGTAAATAAACCTCAACTGCATTTTTTATGTGTGGGACTTCTATGCAATCTCCCAGATGTCGGAATAGATTTCAGAAAAGCGTACACACCAAAACCGGTGTTGTGAAGGCGGCAAGGAAATTAAAACTGGCCTGTAGCAGGAGTATCACAAGTTCAAAGCCAGCCTCAGCAAGTTAGGCGCTAAGCAACTCGGTCTCAAAACCAGTCTCAAAAAATAAATTAATAAATAAAAGGGCCAGGCTCAATGGTTCAATCTCTGGTACCAAAAAAAAAAACCCACAAGGCCTGTAGGAGGAGTAGAATCCCATTCCATCCGTATTTTTCCGGTGCCCCAGGCATTGCCCGACTTGCAACCATTATTTAAACTGTACAATACGTTCCAGACACAAGACTGGAAACCTGATCATCCCAAAGTTAAGGGCAGCGCATCAGCCAGACAGTTCGTTCTGGCCAACAACTCTGGGACACCCCTACTCTACTGCCAGAAAGCAGGCATCAAGGACCTCCCCAGATCGCCCGCAGTTTCTCCATCCCCTCCACCCGCCCGGGTTTCGGCCTCTCCGGGGTTCTCCCGCTAAAACCTCTTCCCGGTGCCCCACCCCTCCCCAAACCTCGGTTCTCCCAGCCCCACCTGCCACGCCACCGACCCACACCTTCTCCTCAGAGCGCCCCGCCCACAGTCTCCTCAGTCCCACCTCCCCACCCCGCGACAGCCAGGCAGCAGGGCGGCGGGGAGCAGTGCAGAAGGCGACCCTATGGCAGGGAGGCTGGGAAGACTGCCAGAGGCGACCCGCCGCGGGTGGCAGCCGGGTCACAGCAGACGTACAGCCCCGCTCGCCACCGTAGGGGCCCCGAGGGCCCCCTCCCTCACTCACCGGCGCCACGGCGCTTCACGTCCTCGGGGGCGGGTCCGTAAGCCGGCAAGACCCGGAGGCCGGGAGGGCCGACACCGGAGCGGGGCGGAGCGAAGTGGGGCGGGGTAAACGGGACTTGCGGGGCGAGCGTCGCGGGGCGCCAGGCGTGGTGCGCAGGTCGGGACCCAAACTCTATTCCGCTCTGGCTGGACAGGGCCACGGCGGGAGGGGCGGGTCTCGCCGGCTATCACTTCAAGTTGGAGCCGGGCCGCGATGGGAGAGGCGGGTCTCTCTGGCAGTCACTCCGGGTGGGGGCGGAGCCACGGGGGGGAGAGGCGGGGCCTCATCAGGCATGGGGCGGGGATGGGGCCTGGATTTGTCCGAAAAAATAAGAGGAGGGTTTAACTCCGCATCGCCTGTAATGGGAACCGAGCCGAGAAAAGGGGGAGAGGTGTGCCTAGTGTAATCACACCGAATAGAGGCGGAACCTCAGCGGAAGAGGCGGGACCTCGCGGAGTAGTTGCGCCAGGGTTGGGCCGGAAGAAGAGGGGCGGGTCTTGGTGGACTGTCACTCCGAGCAGGGGTGGGGCCTATCTGGCTGTCGCACCCCTAGTAGTCTTCACCTGGGAAGGGTTGTGCCCCATCACATTTCCCTCTTTTCTATATTTTAAGGTCCAGAATATAATTTTCTGGTAGCTTTCAAGTATAAAGACAAATCTCATAATTTTAAATCATTTTTAAGTGGCGAAAATCCCACATCCAATTTAGAATTAAAACCTCACATTCCAATTAAAACCAACTTCCTTGCAGTGGTTTACAGAGTTGTCCAGTCCCATCTCCCCTTACTTCTTTGAACACTTCTTTATCTTCCTAGTTTCTGCCACCTTATTACCCTTACTCTTTTTTTGTTTGTTTGTTTTTTTGAGGGGGGGTTATCAGGAATTGAACTAAGGGGCACTTTACCACTGAGCCACATCCCCAGCCCTATTTTGTATTTTATTTAGAGATAAGTCTCACTGAGTTGCTTAGTGCCTCCCCATTACTGAGGCTGGCTTTGAACTTCCAATCCTCCTGTCTCAGCTTCCTTAGCCTCTGGGATTACTGGAGTGTCCTTAGTCTTCCTAGAACATGCCACTCTCCTACCCCCTACCTCAGGCCTTTTTCCTGGCTTTTCCCTCTGCTTAAAAAGCTCTTTCCCCAGTTAACATCTTGGTTTACTTCCTTGCTTCCCTCAAGTCTGCTGGAATCCCAGCTGCTCCCTGAGGTCTTTCCATTATCCTGTTTATAACACCTGCTCTCCTTTCATCACCACTATCTTACTACTTTCCTATACATTCTTTCTAAAGCATTCAGCACTGTCTAACATTTTTGTATTATCATGCTTATTGTCAATCTCTATCCCAAAGAATGTACACTTACCAAAGGCAGGGATTTTGTCATTTGTCCACTTGTTGTAGGGACAGACGAGGCAAGGCACTGAAGATAGCAGGAAACCGTTTTATTTGCTGCAGCCAAGTTCAGAGGGCACAGCTTTTGCTGTAATCAATCAATCCCCTGAACCCCAAGTTCAGTTAGATTCAGAGTTTTATACCCAGCATGTAAGGGGAGGGGCTCAGAAGTTCACAGTCTGCAGAAGTTCACATAAAAGCAGCTTTTTCTTTCACTGTTTTGGGCAGGTTAGCCCTTCAAGGACAACACCTGGGAAGGAGAGAACTGCTTCTCCCCTCTCTTTCCTCCCCCTGCCAGTTGTTACCATGAAGCCCAGTTGGTAACTTATCTTAAAAATGTAGACATCTCTGTGAACCCCAGCTCAAGGCCAGAGGCCTAGTTTGTACATTTCTACAAACTACTATATTGGATACGTTTGTGAAAAACTAGTAAGGGGGTGTCCAGCACCTGGAGTGCTGGTATCTTCCCCGTCAGTGGCCAAGTAAAACAGGGTGACATGAAAATAGGAAGTTTATCTACACTGAACTCTTTTGCAGAGACTCTTTTGCTGACAGTCCTAAAATCAGCCATGGAGAAGATTTCTAGAGAAACCCAGTTAAGACTTTTCTGTGGAGAAAGGGGGTGCCACTTCACACTGATACACCCCACTGTGCCTATAACTGCATTAAGTCCACCCTTAGCAAGCAAGACTCTGAAAAGAAAGAAAATACGAATAAATGCTTTCTCGCCAGAACTTTCGATGCCTCAGTCCTTAATAGAGAAGGCTTATTTGCTCTTTATTCCCCTATCCTTTCTCTGAGTCTTCCAGGTTCAAAGAAGGGAGACCAGGCAACTACCCTGTTTCTTGTTCTAGATCCCTGAGTCTGTCATGGCAGCTCATGACCTTATTAACCAGTTCTTGTGTGGCTATCTTTTAGCAGCTCCTGCATGAGTGTATCCAGAGGTTCTCTCTCTTCTGAAAAATCAGGGGAAAATATGTTCATGAATTGTTCATACTATTAGACTTTAATTACTAGACTTTTGATTGGAGGAGGGGTACCAGAGGCACTCAACCACTGAGCCACATCCCCAGCCCTATTTTGTATTTTATTTAGAGACAGAGTCTCACTGAGTTGCTTAGCACCTCGCTTTTGCTGAGGCTGGCTTTGAACTCCCACTCCTCCTGCTTCAGCCTCCCAGCCTCTAAGATTACAGGCCTTTGCCACCGCACCTGGCTAGACTTTGGATTTTTAATTGCATTGTTTCTATTTTCTCATCACCTCAACTTCTGACTATCTTTATAATATAACTTCATCTTTTGAAATTTATTTGATTGGAAGGATTAGAAAAAATAAAATTTGAATGTAAATATGAAATAATCCCTTTTGCTTGGACAATCTTCTTTCCTCTCCACAATTAATAAATTAAAAATTTCTGTTAAATACAACAAGTTAATGGTTGGACAGCACAGATGGCAGCCCTGACTTAAAGATGAGGATTCGTGTATTAGCTACCATTTGCTGCATAACAAAGCACTACAAAGAATTAGGAATGCCCTTCTCCACCTCTTTCCATTTGGGGATTTCCTCTATGTTCTCTGGCTCCCAAGAACTCCTGTTCCAAGTTCCTCAGTTCAGAGGGACATATTTTCTCTTCAGGTCTTAGATGTCTGTGTCATTGTACTACAGCAGTGCAGCTTCAAGACTGGGGCTGGCCTCATCAATAGCAGCAGGAAAACCATAAGAAATTTCCACCACTTTCTCTAGCTTGCAGCAGGCTTTCCTCCTGATCCTGTAGCTAATATGGTCAGGCTTCTCTGACTTTTTCTAATAGTGTGTGTTTGATAGTTCCCATTTCAATCTGTCCTCAGATCAAAGCCAGAAGGTAGTGGAGAAAAAAAAAACAAAAAGAGGAATCTCACTACCCCTATATTGGTTTTTCGTAAAAGTTTTGAGTTCCCCAATTCACCAGCTATTAGTTACTTTCAGACTCCTTGGGTAGTTGCTTTTATATTTTGTCCAGAGGTTTTAGAGGTAATTAGTGGGACATGGGCTACCATGAAATTACTCTATTTTGGCTCGAAATGGAACTTATCAATCTGGTTGATGAAAAAAAGTTTTGATTTGCATTTCTCCTATTAGGAATGAAGTTGAAAGTATCTTCTCATGTCAAAGAGACATTGGTATTTCGTTTTCCGTAAATTATCCATTTTTATATTGTGCTTAATTTTCTCCTGAATATAGATATTATACACTACGAAAAGTAGTCCTTTTTCTTCTATGTGAATATTGGAACTTTTTCTCAGTTTGTCATGTCTCTTGACTTCTCCTATGCTGTTTTGCTTTGGTTTTGGTTTTCTTGGCCATGCAAACATTTTCCATTTCTAACTAGTTGATCTTATCAAGATTCTCTTTTACCACTTACTACTTCTTGTTTATGTCATACTTAGAAAGGCCTTTCCCTATCTTAGATTGCTTTGAAAACCCTCCCATGGGCTGGACACGGTGGTGCATGCCTGTAATCCCAGCAGCTCAGGAGGCTGAGACAGGAGGATTGCGAGTTCAAAGCCAACCTCAGCAAAAGCAAGGCACTAAGCAACTCAGTGAGTCCCTGCCTCTAAATAAAATACAAATAGGACTGGAATGTGGCTCAGTGGCCGAGTATCCCTGAGATCAATCCCCAGTACCAAAATAATAATAATAATAATAATAATAATAATAATAATAATAATTTCTTTTGTATGTCTCATGGTTTTACTTTTTTTTCTTTTAAAATTTGTCCCATCAGGAATTTCTTTTGATTAAGAGATAAGTGGATGAATCAAACATTATATCAAGATATGTTTATCTGCCCAACCCATCTTTCTCATACTAATTTTAAAGGCCACCATTATCATATATAAAACTTCTTTCTGTATTTATGAACTTTCTCTTCTAGAACTGTATTAATCTGTTGGTTTAGCTATGTACCAGAATCATAAGGTTTTATTTTCCGAAGCTCTATATCATTTTCTTTCTTTAAACCCTCTAGTACTGTCAGAAAAGTCCAAGCCATTTGGGGATTTTCGTATCCCTCATCCCCATCCTAACCACATATTTCAGAAGCCACTGAAGACTCCCCTTCAGTAATCTATTTATCTCAAATGCCACAGATGATAATTCATGTAACTTTATATATCCAGACTCATAGTAGTCTACTGGTGGCAAAGCCACAATTGTCCCCATCCTTTGCCAGGTCGTATTCAATGCCAGACTCCCAGCTTGAGGGTCTGATTCCTATAACCACTTCCAATACCAAACATGTGAGTTAAATTTCAGTGCAGAAAACAGAAATCAGTATGTGCATTTTACACAGTAATAGATTTCATAAAGAGCATTAAGTCCTTAATGAATTTTTGGAAGGCTTGGAAAAGCAGCTTGAGACTGGATGTCTTGGCATGAACCACACTGCTGGGCTGGTCTGCTGCAGGAGCTGCTTCTGCAGACTCAGTTATTCCACACCTCAGTTTATTCCCAAAGGACTTAAAATCAGCAGGATAATATAGTGACATGGCCACATCAATGTTTATAGCAGCTCAATTCACAATATTCAAGCTATGGAACAAAACTAGATGCCCTTCAACTAATGAATGTTTTTTTAAAAAAATATATGGTATATAAACACAGTTAAGAAGAATGAAATTATGGCATTTGCAGGTAAATGGATGGAACTGGAGACTATCATGCTAAGTGAAATAAGCCAATCCCAAAAAACCAAAGGCCAAATGTTCTCTCTGATATGCAGATGCTGACTCACAATGGGGGCAGGGAGATGGG